AATATATATAATCAGAATTTCCTAAATTGTAACTTTTACTATTTAACCAATTTTCTTTCTCTCGCGGTTTCCGATTTTCCCATCCTTGTCCTCCTTTTCTTGAATACACAGTAAACGTTCTTCCTAACAATAAGAAGGAAAAGCAAATATCAAAATACATGCATTTATCTTTGATGAATTGATTTTTAAGGAAATTGCTTTTTGGTACACAGTTTTTTGTGAAATCATCAGACACCGATTTATTCGAGTTATTCATACTATTTCTAATTGAAACTTTATAGTTTGGTACTTTTTCTATATAAATATATGAATATATGAATTTTACTTTCAATCTTTGAAAATTAAGTCACCGTAATATATAACTACTTGTATAATACATAACAATCATTTTTCAGGTTCTTCTTTTACATTGAGGCGGAATAATTCCTCCGATTCTCCATTAAATAGTTCTCGAGAATTAGTTGAGAATGAATTCTCTAGTTATTTTGAAAAACAAACTAACATTCATATGGAGTTAGGTAAGATAGATTCTGATATTAAACATCCACTGCAAGAAGAACATAAACCGAAACTTCCGAATGCCGAAAATTTGAATTTACCTACAAATCTTAATTCAGGTAAGCCATTGCCCCTAATGTAGGTTTCGAATTGTTACTATTATTGAACTAATTGAAAAATGACTTGACTATCGTTAGACAGGTTTTACAGAAGAGACAAAATTCTGATTTATTAGTTATGTAGTCATGATTACCAAATTTTGTATTTTAACTTTATCACTTTCAGTTTTGAATCACTTATGTTGCTGTAGAAATATTAGTTTTGGAACAGAATTGATTCTAAAAAACAGGCTACATTTGTAAAATGTTTTTACTATACTAAAACCAATAATGATTGAGAGTAGAAGTAAGCTCAGTTGACAGCAAATCGGGGGCGTGCTTATTAATTTTTGAGAGGGTTAAGAATGAAAGAAAAATTCTTAGTACAATTAGTTAAAATATTCATACACATTTTTTATTTATTTCAT